TGTCTTGGGCTCCTCTTGGGCCGTGTTGGGAGCCTCTTGGGCCGTCTTGGGGCCGTCGTGGGGGCCTTTTGTACTCTCGTGCACGCCGTGAAGACCGAAAAGACGTAGATGCTACAAGTGCACGCTCTCCTATGCAAAATCAATGATTTGGGCCGCTTGGGGCTCTTTTGGAAAGCAACTTGGGGCGTTGTAGCGGCTTCTTGGGCCCAATGGGAGCCATCTTGAGCGTCCAGGAGCGATCTTTGAGCGCCCCCGGGGTGGTCTGGGGCTATGCTGGGTGCCTCTTCGGCAGTCTTGAAGCCTTCTTGGCCCGTCTCGGGGCCGTCCTGAGGGTCTCTTGGGTGGTCTTGTGGCGGTCTTGGGAGGCTCTTCGGCGTTCTTAGACACTGGAAGCTCGAAAACGCGAGAAGCCCAAAACATTGGAAAAAAAACCATGAGCATCTACGATTTGGGCCTCTTCGGGCCGTCCCGTGACACCTATCAGACCTCTCTTGGGGTCTCTTAGAGGCCACCTGGGAGCCTCGAGAGCCGTCGGACGGCTGACTTGGGCTGCTTGGGAGCGTCTTGGGCCATCCTTTCGCATTCTGGGGGCTCCTGGGGGGCGTCTTGGGCCCTCCTGGAGCGCTGTGGAGGCTCCCCGGAAAAGGCTGGGGGAGCGGTACCGGGAGCGTCCCCGAGATGTGGCGGGGAGGTGTGGGACCGGGGTATATATATACATATATATATACATATATATATATATGTATATATATATGTATATATAATATATTATATTATGTTATAGTATAGTATATTATATTATTACCTAACAGCGTAGACTGATAGGTTTCTAGTGGTGTCAAAAGAAGTCACAGATCACTCCACAGGGGGGTCCGGGCAGGTGTTGGGAGTTGCCGGGCGGCAGGGGGCCCCGCTCGTTTTTCACCAACAGTCACACACTTCGTGCTCTTCGACTTCCCAGAACTCCATTCCCAGGCCACATTCTGGAGGGCCTGATGCAACAGTCACACACTTCGTGCTCTTCGAGTTCCCAGAACTCCATTCCCGGGCCACATTCTGGAGGGCCGGATGCAACAGTCACACACTTCGTGCTCTTCGAGTTCCCAGAACTCCATTCCCAGGCCACATTCTGGAGGGCCGGATGCAACAGTCACACACTTCGTGCTCTTCGAGTTCCCAGAACTCCATTCCCCCCTCCCGGGGCCACATTTTGGGATTCCGGAGCCAACTGTATGCACTTCCGTATTCTTCTCTTTCCCAGAACTGAATTCCATTCCAGGGCCACATTTTGGATGCCCGGAGCCAACTGTAGGCCACTTCGTGCTCTTCGAGTTCCCAGAACTCCATTCCCGGGCCACATTTTTGAATGCCCGTAGCCAACTGTAGGCAACTTCGTGCTCTTCGACTTCCCAGAACTCTCATTCCTGGGCCACATTTTCAGCAGGGGCAAGAGCACGACGAGGAGGAGGACGAGCAAGACCAGGAGGACGAGGACGAGCAGGAGCAGGACGAGGAGCAGGAGGAGCCGGAGAAGAAGGACGAGCAGGAGGAGGAGGAGGACGAGCAGGAGGAGGAGGACGACCAGGAGGAGGAGGACGACCAGGAAGAGGAGGAGGAGGAGGAGGGAGGAGAGGAGGGAGGATACCAGGAGGAGGAGGAGGAGGAGGAGGAGGAGGAGGAGGAGGAGGAGGAGGAGGACGAGGACGAGGACGAGGAGGAGGAGGAGGAGGGGGGGGGAGAGTACCAGGAGGAGGAGAACGAGGACCACCAGGAGGAGGAGGAGGAGGAGGAGGAGGAGGAGGAGGAGGAGGAGAGAACACCAGGAGGAGGAGGACGAGCAAGACGAGGAGGACGAGAACGAGGACGACCAGGAAGAGGAGGAGGAAGGAGGAGGAGGGGAGGGGAGGACTACCAGGAGGAGGAGGAGGAGGAGGAGGAGGAGGAGGAGAGGAGGAGGAGGACGAGGAGGAGGAGGAGGAGGAGGACGAGGAGGAGGAGGGGGGGGGAGAGCACCAGGAGGAGGAGAACGAGGACCACCAGGAGGAGGAGGAGGAGGAGGAGGAGGAGGAGGAGGAGAGAGCACCAGGAGGAGGAGGACGAGCAAGACGAGGAGGACGAGAACGAGGACGAGCAGGAGGAAGAGGAGGAGGAGGAGGAGGAGGAGCAGGAGAAAGAGGAGGAGGAGGAGGAGGCAGGCTGAGGCTGAGGCTGTGACTGCGACTGCCGTTGCCGCTGCGACTGTCATCGCGAATGCGACTACGACTGCGAGAACAGCAGAATTCGACAACTGGATTTTCATCTGAATCTTAAGGGGAATGCTTTCAGATATGCTTCTACACATCGCTGTTAGGTTGCTTTGCCGGGATAATATTTATATTATTAATATATATATATTATATATATAATATATATAAGATATATATTCATGCATGCATACATACATACATACTTACATACAGCCAGACAGCCAGACAGACAGACACACAGACAGACATATATACAGACATACATTCATATATATATATATGAATGTATATATAAAAGAAACACGCACGCTTCGCGTGCGCTTAGGGTCTAGCGTGTCACAGACACAGGAAAAAATGTGCGAACAAATGTTTGGAGTTTCTCTGGCAAATGCGGACTCCAGTGGCAACACGTGCTTGAGGCACCGCCGGGGACGGACCTTGTAGAGTGTGGGAAGTCGGACCAGCTCTCTGGTCGACCCTCTTGGGCGCGCCCTGGAGCTCTCTTGGACCGTTTTGAGGGGCCCATTGCGGGGCTGTTTCGGGGCCTCTTTGAATGTTTGTGCGGTTCTCTTGGGGGCCTGTTGGGGCTTCTTGGGCTTTTCTTGGAGCCTCTTGGGGTCTCCTGGGGGCCTTTTTGGGCCAAAACGCTCGAATCTTCGGTTCCTTGTCCCCGTCTTGGGCGCCGACTCGGGGCGTTCTTGGGCGGTTTGGGCGCCTCGGGGGCCATCTTGGCCCCCTCGTGGGGGCATCCTCGACTGGCTTGGGTCTCTTGGGCCGTCTTGGGGGCCGATTGGGCCGTCCTGGGCTTCTCGTGGCCCGTCTTGGAGCTCTTTTGGGGGCCTCCTAGGCCGTCTTGGGAACCCCTTGAGCCGTCTTGGACGCGATGACAGCCCAACAGGCGAACATACGAAAAATATACGTTTTCCCACAGGAATGGGACGATTTGTGCTTCTTGGAGCTCTCTTGGGGTGCATCTTGGAGCGTCTTGGGGTGCTTTTGGGAGCCTCCGGGCGCTTCTTGGGGGCTTCTCGGCGCCCCCTGGAGCCACTTGGGGTCGAAAGCTTGGAATTCGATGGTGGCTTTCCTCCTCTGGGGCCCTCTCGGGCCCGTCGTGGGGACTCTCTTGGGCCGTCTTGGGCCCTTCGTGGGCCGTCCTGGAGCTCTCTGGGGCTGTATTGGGGCCCTCTGGGGCGCGTCCTCGGCCGGACCGACAGCGGGCGTAAGCAACATGTTAAAAACATACGTTTTACTAAGGGAATGGGGCTATTTGGGCCCCTTGGGACTCTCTTTGGTGCCCTATTGGGGGTCGCTTGGGGTGTCTTGGGGGCTTCTGAAGCCGCCTTGGAGGCCATGTTGGGCGTCTGGGAGCGACCTTCGGGCGTCCCGGGTCTGTTCTAGAGCCTCTTGGGGCCTCCTTGGCGCCTTCTGGCCGCCTTCTGTGAGGCCCCGGGGCTCCCCGAGGGCCCCGGAGCCCACATTTGTGGTAGCGGCGCCGGCCCCGGGCGCCTGGACCCGGTGCGCCGTTTATGTATACTAGAACCACGCTCAGGTTCTAGCTAGGACCGTAGTCATCGTCACCATCACCACCATCATCATCCTCATTAACATAAACACAGTCATCATCATCGTCGTCGTCATCGTCATCATCACCATCCTCCTCTCATCCGCATACTCATCATTGTGGACTTGGGGAATTGGGTTGTGGGCATGAGGCCGCCATGCCTGGGTGATGGGCCAGTGGCCTGCTGGATGCCTGTTGGGATACGTGTGGTGGAAGTCTTTCAGAAGCCTCTTGGACAGCTTTCGGGGGCCTCTTGGGTACTTCGTGGCTTCTTCTTACCTCTTGGGAGCCTCTTGGGGACCTTTCGGGGGCCTCTTGGAGGCCTCTTGGGGCTTCGTGGGGGCCTCTCGAGGGTCCTCTGGCGGCGTCTTGGGGGCCTCCGGAGCGCTTCTTGGAGTCTCACAGGAGCTTTTTGGGGCCGAAGGCTCGAAAGGTTCGTTCGGACTCCCTGTCTGGGCCCCTTCTCAGAGCCGTCTTGGGGCTATCTTGGACCGTCTTGGAGGCCTCTTGGACTGCTTGGGTCCCTCTCGGGCTGTCTAGGGGCCATCTTGTGAGCCTCTTGGGCTGTCTTTGGGCGATCTCGGGAGCCTCTTCGGCTATCTTGGAGCGTCGGGAAGCCGCAAAGGTGAGAACCACAAAAAATCCTCAAGCTGGAGCGCGGCCTGTGCCGCGGCCAGGGTGGAGGGACGAAGGAGGGAGGTGGGGTTCGAAAAAGGAAGAGAAATGGGGTTGCGGAGGGGGGAGGGGGACGGACAACCGAGGTTCGCCCACGTCGCATCTGACGTCCTACCCCCCTTCCATCCCTTACCTTTGCGTAGATACCATCTCTGACCGTGTACTCGAAAAACATGAGGCCAACGAAGCAGCGCAGCAATGAGGGTCCGAGATTCTCCGCAAAGAATCAAGGGAGAGAGGCGAGTAGTAGTCATATTGTGTAATTGTGAAAAGGATGGAGGAGGGAGGAGGAGGGGAGGCAGAGAAGAGCGGGGGGGAGGGAGGGAAGGGAGGAAGGGGGGGAGCAGCGGAGGGAGCGAGGCCGAAAACGCCGCATCCGCCGCAGTCGTCGTCGTCGTCGTCGTCGTCGTCGTCGTCGTCGTCGTCGTCGTCGTCGTCGTCGTCGTCGTCGTCGTCGTCGTCGTCAACTTCGTCGGCTTCGCCGCCGCCGCCGCAATCCTCGTCGTCGTCGTCGTCGGGGCCGCCGCGATTTTCGCACCCTTGGCCCCTGGAAGCCCGTTTCGGACTCCAGGTCGCCCATTGGCGCAAAAAAAAAAATGGGGGACAGCGGCGACGCCGGCGGGGGAGAGAGGAGGGGGGGCAACTCTCCACAATTTTCCTTGGGTGCGCTCCTCGCGCACGCGGCTCCCGGTCCTCGCCAGCCACCCCGCTTCGCAGGATCGAGGCGCGGAGCGAACCCTCGCCGCGCCTCCGCGCTGGGCCCTAGGCTCGGGGCGAACCCCCGACGCGCCTGGGGTCCTCGTCCGTCGTCGTGGTCGTGGTCGTCGTCGTCGTCGTCTTGGTCGTGGTCGTGGTCGTGGTCGTGGTCGCGGTCGTGGTCGTGGTCGTGGTCGTGGTCGTGGTCGTGGTCGTGGTCGTGGTCGTCGTGGTCGTGGTCGTGGTCGTGGTCGTCGTGGTCGTGGTCGTTGTCGTGGTCGTGGTCGTGGTCGTGGTCGTGGTCGTGGTCTTGGTCGTGGTCGTGGTCGTGGTCGTAGTCGTGGTCGTGATCGTGATCGTGGTTTTCGGAACAACTTGGGGCCTCTGGGGGAGCCTCGGGGGCCCCTCGGGGCCCTGTCGGAGGGCCTCTTGGGGGCCATTTTGAAGCATTGGAGGTTCATCGGAGGCGGGAACGGGAGAGGGCAACAATTATAGATGTCGTCATCATCATCATCATCATCATCATCATCAGCATCAGCATCAGCATCATCAGCATCAGCATCAGCATCAGCATCAGCATCAGCATCAGCATCATCATCATCATCATCATCGTCATCTTCATCGTCATCATCATCAACTTTATCGTCATCGTCATCGTCATCGTCGCCATCGTCATCATCACTGTTATCATGTTGTTCATCCCTCGCGAGTGCCGTCTCCAGTGCCCCCGCGAACGAGAGCCGCCGAACATGTTAGAATAGCACAGTGGCAGGACTTGCCACAGGCAGCTAAATAACAAACAGGCGGCCCGAAAGAGAAGTAACATAACTAAAATGAGAAAGGAAACCATATGGAACAACAACAACGAGGTACGTAGATCACTGGAGGGGCTCAGAGTATCATCATCATAATCATCGGCATCAACATCATCATCAGCATCACCATCATCATCGTCATCATCAGCAGCATCATCATCCACAGGATCAGCATCATCATCGTCATCATCATCAACATCATCATCGTCAGCATCAGCATCATCAGCATCATCATCGGCACTATCATCAGCAGCAGCATCGGCACCAGCATCAACAGCAGCATCATCATCATAATCATCGTCGAAATCAGCAGCAGCAATAACGGCATCATCATCAGCATCATCATCACCATCACCATCACCATCAACATCATCAGCATCATCATCATGAACAGCATCATCATCAGCACCATCATCACCATCATGATGACTCATTACCCTCATCATCCTCATCATCATGATCAGCATCGCCATCATCAACATCAACAACATCAGCAAAGTCATCATCACCATCATCATCAGCATCATCATCATCATCGACATCGTCATCGTCAACGTCGTCAGCATCGTGAGCAGCAGAATAATCATCAGCGGCAGAGACATCGGCAAAACCATCATCATCATCATCATCATCATCATCATCATCATCATCATCATCATCATCATCATCATCATCATCCCTTCATCACCATCACCATCATCGTCATCATCATGATCAGCATCATCATCAGCATCCTCATCAGCAGCATCATCAGCATCACGAACCTCTGCAGCATAACCATCACCACTATCATCAACAACAGCAAAATCATCATCATCATCATCACCACCGTCGTCACCAGCATATCGCCAGCATCAGCATCATCATCACCGTCATCGGCGTAATCGTCATCATCAGCAGCATCATCATTGCAACATCATCATCGTCATCAGCATCGTCATTGTCATCGTCATCAACATCATCAACAGTGTCAGCATCATCGTCATCATCAGCAGTAGCATCATCTTCTCATCAGCAACATCAGCATCATCATCATCATCATCATCACTATCCTCATCGGTAGCATCAGCATCATCATCATCGGCGAATGGTACCAGGAGAATTCGGTCAATCGCAAGTCCAACTAACTGCAATGACAAAGACATACGTGCTTGCACGACGGCATCACTTACAGATATGCCACTGCGGTGGAGGCGTTCGTCCGGACTGGCACCGAGGCCAAAGAGATTCTTTTCTGGCACTTCAGACTGGGCTCAGCTGCGGTCGCGTGGTCCAAGCCCAGAATCCCACCCACAGGGTAGCCTACAAATTTCAGATTACGGACGAAAAGGTTCAGATAGACGATGCCACGCTTAGTGCGGCCCTGCAACACCTTCAGCTCCACCTGGCCATATCGCAGCCAACGCCGGGACTCCTTCTCAGCGACATAACCGGCGCAGAATGCGCGGCCGTGGGAGCCGACCCATCTGCCCGTCAGGTTCACCGACACGAAGTACGTGTCAGTGCACGCCACGCCCATCTGCCGCGCCTCCGCATCGACGCTCAGCAAGGCGGCCCCGCGCTTGGCACCCCGGGGAATCCGCACCAGCGTGTGCCATCCCTCCTTGTGGATGTCGAACCGCTGCCCGAACACGTTGGCGAGGTGAAGGTCCCTGGTCGCCTGCGCCGCCCCACCGGCCGCACCGGCCACTGGAGTCGGGTTAGGAGTCGGGCACGGAGTCGGGGACGGAGTCGGGTACGGAGTCGGGTACGGAGTCGGGTACGGAGTCGGGTAAGGCGTCGGGTTCGGCGTCAGGCTGGGCCCCGCGGCCCCCCTTCGGCCATCGCCTGTCGCACCGACCGACGTGTGTGTCTCACACCAATTATAATTAGATTCAGAAGCTGGGAGAACATATCCTGTGCACCCTGAGTCCGCATCGCATAGAGCTTCGCAGTTCTGGTGGCTGTAATATACTAAGCCTGCATTGCCTGATGGCCTTGCCCTTCCGCGACAGGCACCAGGTCGACGCATATCCTTGCGTGGCGTCACTGGCCCTTAGCGTTACTTAATCGCCGTGGCTGATTATATGATTGCGAATACCACCTCCGCAAGCACAACACATTACTTGCGCAGAAAAGTCCATGTCGTCGTCGTCCAAGACCCTTGATCTCCATGCAATTACGGCCAGCCTCGTTGACCAACGACCCATCTTCGTCCATGCAATCGTCTTCGGATGTTCCAATCGGGTACGGAGTCAAGTACGGAGTCGGGCTGTCCGTCGTAGGCAGACCCGCCAGCAAACCAATTGCGGTGCGAATGCCCCCCATGAACACCACGACCGTGATGAGCAACGTGGCAAAGCCCTGTGAGGGTCATTTCTGAAGGTACTGAATCCAAATATGAATCTGGATGTCTGTTTAATGCAAATGTATTTTGACAGCGATGTCCTGAGCAAATATGCCTCACTTGAGCGCAAATGACTGCGGACCTCTTGAGAGTCCTCTTGGGGGCCTCTTGGGCCGCCTTGATGCGGTCTTGGGGTCCTCTTGGGGCCATCTTGGGAGTCTTGGAGCGCTCTTGGGCTGTCTGGGAAGCCTCTTGGACCGCTGTAGGAGCTCCCTCGGCACTTTCCCGGGGCGACTTCATCTCCCGGCGCGACCCCGCCGCGCAGCCTGGTCCGCGGGGCCCCTATGGCGCGTAGCGTGAAGAATTGCACAACAAACCACAACTGCAAGTAACAAGCAGCCACGCCAGCAGCGCAGCGCGTCGCTTGGGATGTTGTTTTCCGCGGGCACCCTGGTATCATGCACCGTTGCATTATGAGACCTTAGACTATCGAGCCAGCGGCTAATGGTACCAGGCGGATTCTGTCAATCGCAAGTCCAACTAACTCCCCCCCCATGCCAACTGCTAGTTTATCGACGGCCTTCGGGCCACACTGCAACCGTACCTGAGTTTTGGGCCAGGGGCTTCTTAGATACCTTTAACGCGGGGTCTCGTGGCATGCTTCTCGAGGGCCTCGTGGAGCGAATACTCAAGTCTCCTGTGTCCGCTCGTGGGCCGTGGGGGAGCCCCTCGGGGCCTCTGTTGGATCATTTGGGGGCCTCTTGGGTACCTGCTGCGGCCTCGAGGGCCCGCTCGTGGCGGAGGGTTCGAAATTTCAGTTGTAGTTCCACCGCTTAGACCCCTCTTGGTCCATCTCGGGCGCATCTTGTTTGTCTTGCGTGTTATTTTTTTTGGCGGCGGCGCAGCGTGTTCGCCAGATACGCGCCAACCGCCAATCAACGCACCAAACGCGCGCTGATCAAGCAAAAAGAAAAATTATAATGTGGCAGGCGAGGCTGGCCAGCCAGAATGAGTACTTGGCCAATACACACGCCCGAGCCACGCTACGAATGCGCTGGGCTAGAACCATCGCGCGCGCTTCGCGCGTGCTCAGGTTCTAGCCCAGGCCGGGGGGGCGCTGGACGATCTTGGACAACGCTATCAAGCACATGCGCGCGACGGCATCTGAGGAGCTTCTGGGGTGTTCCGCATGCTTGTTGGAGGCACCTCTTGGGTGCCTCTTAGGGGGGCGTCTGAGGGTCCCTTGGGGGCATCGGTTCTGCGATCTGAAGCCGTCATTGGCCGTCTTGGCTACGTGGAGGCCCGACTTGAGGCCACCTGCTGCCAGATTGAGGAATCCGGAAGCCTCCTGGGGGCCTCCTGGAAGCAGTTTTGACGCATCGAGGGCACTCTTGGGCTATTTAAAAACCTCTTGGACGTCTCCTAGAGGCCTTTTGGGCCCTCGGGAAGCTTTTGGGGTCCTCTTGCGGCCTCCTGTGGGCCTTTTGGGGGGAACGCTCTGCTGTTGGGTCGCGTTCCCCTTCTTGGGCCTTTCTTGGGGCTCTTGGGGCCCTCTCGGGCCGTCTTGGGCGCCTCAAGCACCGTCTTGGGGCCGTCGCGGGCCGTCTTGGGGCCCTCTTGGAGGCCTCTTCCTCTATATTGGAGCGGCATTGGAAGCCTCTTGGGCCGTCTTGGAGCATCGGGATGCCAAAAGGCAGAAAAAAATAAAATCCGTCAAAGCACAATCGTAAAACGATGAGTTGTGCCTCTTGGGGCCACCTTGGGAGATCTCTTGGAACCTCGTCGGCCCTCTTGGGAGCTTCTTGGGGGCCTCTTGGATCCGATTGGGGGCCTCTTGGGACTTCCCGAGAACCTCTCGGGGTAGAAAGCTCGGCTTCTCAGTTCGTGTTTCCCTTCTTGGGCCTCTCTTGGGGCCTCGAGGGCCCGCTCGTGGCGGAGGGTTCGAAATTTCAGGTGTAGCTCCACCGCTTAGACCCCTCTTGGGCCGTCTCGGGCGCATCTTGTTTGTCTTGGGGTTCTCTATTTCTGTCGGCGGCGCAGCGTGTTCGCCAGATACGCGCCAACCGCCAATCAACGCACCAAACGCGCGCTGATCAAGCAAAAAGAAAAATTATAATGCGGCAGGCGAGGCTGGCCAGCCAGAATGAGTACTTGGCTAATACACACGCCCGAGCCACGCTACGAATGCGCTGGGCTAGAACCATCGCGCGCGCTTCGCGCGTGCTCAGGTTCTAGCCCAGGCCGGAGGGGCTGGACGATCTTGGACAACGCTATCAAGCACAGGCGCGCGACGGCATCTGAGGAGCTTCTGGGGTGTTCCGCATGCTTCGTCAACTGGCTGTTGGAGGCACCTCTTGGGTGCCTCTTGGGGGGGCGTCTGAGGGTCCCTTGGGGGCAGCGGTTCTGCAATCTGAAGCCGTCATTGGTCGTCTTGGCTGCGTGGAGGCCCGACTTGAGGCCACCTGCGGCCAGATTGAGGCAATCCGGAAGCCTCCCAGGGGCCTCCTGGAAGCAGTTTTGACGCATCGAGGGCACTCTTGGGCTATTTAAAAACCTCTTGGACGTCTCCTAGAGGCCTTTTGGGCCCTCGGGAAGCTTTTGGGGTCCTTTTGCGGCCTCCTGTGGGCCTTTTGGGGGGAACGCTCTGCTGTTGGGTCGCGTTCCCCTTCTTGGGCCTCTCTTGGGCTCTTGGGGCCCTCTCGGGCCGTCTTGGGCGCCTCAAGCACCGTCTTGGGGCCCTCGCGGGCCGTCTTGGGGCCCTCTTGGAGGCCTCTTCCTCTATATTGGAGCGGCATTGGAAGCCTCTTGGGCCGTCTTGGAGCATCGGGATGCCAAAAGGCAGAAAAAATTAAAACCCGTCAAAGCACAATCGTAAAACGATGAGTTGTGCCTCTTGGGGCCACCTTGGGAGATCTCTTGGAACCTCGTCGGCCCTCTTGGGAGCTTCTTGGGGGCCTCTTGGATCCGATTGGGGGCCTCTTGGGACTTCCCGAGAACCTCTCGGGGTAGAAAGCTCGGATTCTCAGTTCGTGTTTCCCTTCTTGGGCCTCTCTTGGGGCCGTCTTGGGGCCCTCTCGGGCCTTCTTGGGCGCCTCAGGCACCGCCTTGGGGCCCTCGTGGGCCGCCCAGGGCCCTCTTGGAAGCCTCTTCGGCTATCTTGGAGCTGTCTTGGAGGCCTCTTCCTCCTCGTCCCCCTCCTCCTCCTCCTCCCACTCCAGCTCTCTCTCCTCCTGATCTTCCTCCTCCTCCTGCAGCGTGTTCCGGAAGGCTCCCGCCGGAACATGCTGTGCACAAGTGCTGTCACTGCTCCCGCCACCGTGCCCTGGGTGGTGGGTCAGAGGCCTCATGGGTGTTGGTTTGGATCTCGTGGTTGGCCTGTCGGGGACGTCGTGAAGGCAGTTTCGCAGCTTCTCGGTAGCCGTTTTGGGACCGTTGTGGGGCCTCCTCGGGGCTGTTCTGTGGCCTCTTTAGGCCTCGTTTGGGCCTCCTGGGTGCCTCTTGGGGGCATCCTGGGGCCTCTTGGGGGCTCCTTGGGGCCTCCTGGGGCACTCTTCAAGCGGGAGGGTCGAATTTTGGAGTCGTGGTCCCCCTCTTGGGCGCATCTTGGGGCCGTCTTGGGGCTCTGTTGGGCTGTCTTGGGCGACTCTGGGGCCGTCTTGGGGCCATCTTGGGCCGTCTTGGGGCGCTCTTGGGGGCCTATTGAGCCGTCTTGGAACGTCGGTCAGCCGAAAAGGCTGGAAGGCCAAAATCGATCGAAAACCTTCGTGACATTGACGATTTCGGCCTCTTGAAGCGCTCTGGAGAGGCGTATTGAAGCGTCGTGGAGTGCCTTGGGGGGCCTCTCGGGCCGTCTTGGGCCATCTTGGGCGTCCTGGAGCGGTCTTTCGGCGACTCGGGGCCCGCTTGGGCCGTCTTGGGAGCTTCTGGAGGCCCTCCTGGACTATTTTGGACCTCCCCAGCCGCCCCGTCCTCCCACGGGTGGTCGGAAACGGCAGCCTCCGAGGCCCAGGACGCGGAAACCCTTTGAAAACAAAGGGAAAATGAGCCCCGCTACTCCCATGCCCCCTCGGGGCAGCCGCCCTGGGCGCCCGGGCGTCGTGCACGGGGATATATAATATATATATATATATATATATATATTATATTACTAGAACCATCGCGCGCGCTTCGCGCGCGCTCAAGTTCTAGCTAGGCTTGATAGGCTAACTAATGTAATATCGTGTTGGTCGCTTCTTGCGTCCAGGGACTCCCTTGGAGGCCCTGCTCAAGCCCCGGAGTGATATAGAAGGGGAAGTGCGGAAACGCAGAAATCATAAATTTCCTTTAGGTATTCAACGATTTGGGGCCCTCAATGGCTTCCTGGTTCTTTTTTGGGAGGTGAGGGGGGTCTGAATTGTGGTCTGTTGTGCAAGAGTGGATCGGGGGCCAAACTTGGAAAAACAAAAAAAAAGAATTGTGGGATTTCCATGCTTTTCCAGTTCCTCGGCGCTGTTCGGCGCTGTCTTTTGTTTGTGCCTCGCGGGTTTTGTTAGCCGGGCCCCTCAAGGGTGTGGGATCTTCCGGACCCCCTGGAGCTTCTGGAGGCCTCCTGGAGGCCTGGAGAGCCGCCGGAAGGGTGTCTCGGGCTGCGCGGGAGCGTGTTGGGCCGTTCTTTACGTTCTGGGGGCTCCTTGAGGTCGTCATGGGCTGTCCTTCGGCGTCTTGGGGTCTTCCCCCCGGGAAGCCAGGAGGCGCGATACCTGCCAGATGTCAGGGGATGTGTGGGACCCTCGAGTAGGAGTCCCACTTTGAAAAAAAAGGGAATTCTGGGAACTTCGATTTAAAAAAAAGCATCCTCGATCTTCGAGGGTTGGAAGCGGGAAAACGTGAGAAGGCGGAAAACGTTCGAAAAACCAGAGAAATCAACGAGTTTACCCTCTTTGGGCTCTCTCGGGGAGGCTCTCGCAGCTCTCTCGGGCTGTTCTTGGAGCCTCGTCGGGGTCTCGTTGGGGCCTCTCAGGGATCGGGGGTGTGTTGGGGGCCTCTGGGGGGTCCCGGAGGCCTCTCGGAGGTCTCTGGAAGCCTCCTGCTCCCGCTCTTGGGCCCATCTTGGGCCTGTTCTGGGGTGGTCTGGGGATGTCCTGGACGCCTCTTCGGCAATTTTGGAGCCTTCTTGGCCCGTCTTGGGGTCGTCCTGAGGATCTCTTGGGTGGTCTTGGGAGCCTCTTCGGCGCTCTTGGACCATTGGAAGCTCGAAA